ATGGATTATGAGATTTATTCGAAATGGACAATGATGATTTGATCGAGGGTCTTTTGCTAAAGTATCCTCACTTTCGAGGGACATGACCATTAATCGTAAGGCAACAAGAGAGGTTACCCTAGAGGTGCAAGTGTAAAGTGTGTGTTAATTTCAGTTATTTATCTTGAGATTAAATTTTTTCAATGTTTGACTATTAGTCTTGCTATACAATCCTAATAACTAGTAGTTATAAAGTGTACAGAAAATAAAGGGCAAAAAATAAAATTCCTACGCTATTACATAACTTTGGGGTAGTTCATAATAGGAGAGTGAGAGAATTTAAACCTATAATTATTACATCCTTGGAGAAGATACATAATTAGGAAAAACACGATAAAATAAACCTAAGTTATTATAATCGAATAATACTACCTATACATTTTATATAGGAATTTAAATAGAAAGAAAAGAAAATATGAGAAAAAGTTTTGAAAAACAAGAAAACATTTTAGTATTTAGAAAATAATTTTAAATGATAAAAATAATTAATAAAACCTAAATCTCTAATTGATTTTAATATTTAAAAAAAGGTTAATTAACTTAATTAATTAATTAACAAAAATAAAGGACAAAATTTTAATTATTAATTAAAACCTTAATCCTAGTTTATTAGTTTTAAGAAAAAAATTAGGTTAATTGATTGTTTAAAAAATAATTAGGGTTATATTAATAAAACGAAAAGAAAATTATGTAAAACAAAATAAAGTGGAAAAATTATATGGGTGGGTGTTGAACCCACGCCCCTGGGATAGCATGCATGCCTCCTTGCCACTGTGCCCAATGCTCGTTGGTGTTAGAAACCAGAAACTGATTATTATATGGGCAATCTGCACATTAACCTGGAAAATAACAAAAATAAAGTGAAAACGCAGGGATCGAACCCACGCCCTTTCCTTTATTACGTGTGTCTTTTACTAACTGAACCATGTTTCCAATCTGTCATTTTATCAAAACTAAAACAATATATAAAAAACAAAACCAATGCACCGGAGAAGCGCCAGAGCCCTAGCTCCGGTCGTCTTCTCTGGATAGGAATTTTCTTCACCTGCAAAATTATTGCATGTTAGAGATTCAAAAGAACCCTATCCCACTAAATCGACCCTTGCGAATCCAATGGTGGCATTATTTTTGGCTAATTCAACTTGTAGAAAGAGATACGACCAAAATAGTGGAAATCCGTTCAATAATGGTGATGGACCATTCTTGCATGATGGACCTCATGCAAGGGATCAAACCTGTATTATTTTGTCTCAGGAACACGTTAGAGCTATTAGTTTAAATCAAATAATCGTAAAAATCAAAATATGAATTTCAAGAAAACATGTAAATCGACGATGCATTATATGCATGTTTTAGGCAACTTTGATCGTCAAGAATGATCCATACTTACTCTATAATATCTCAGGAATCGATTGGGATCGTTGAATGGCTTTGAGGATGCTTGAAAATAGGGTTTTGATTTCCACCTTCTTCTTGCAAATTTTAGTCACAAACCCCTGTTTCTTGCAGCTCTTTTTTCATGTATCTCTTTGTCTAAATGTGAAGGGCATATATAGATGAAGAGATTAGGTCAAAAACACGGGCTTGGACTTTATACAACACATGTCTTTGATTCTTGTTTGAAAGTAGATTGAATATGACAAAACCAAGGAGATTTGGTTGGAAAATTATGTATACACGGCTTTTGCTTGTCTTTGGGCCTCCAAAATAACCAATTCACAAGCCTTTTAAGCCTTACATATTTATCTAATATTTATTTGATTTAATTTTTAATTTCAATGAATAAAAATCAAAATAAATTAAATAAAAATTAAAATAACGCATGCATGGATTTAGAGGTCCTATAAGGTGTCATGAACATTTTTAGACCTCAAAATATTGGTCCATTAGCCCAAAAGTCAAGTTTGCTTCAAATTGAATTTTATTCATTTTCTCAAAAACTTCCCAACTTGCACAAATCATATTTCACTCAATTTTTATTATATTAAGGTGATCTTGGACTTTTTGGAAATCTCAAGATGTCTCAAATAATTTTCATGTTGGTCATATTTTCATTTGAAGATTTTAACTTAAAGTAAATTGCTTGGACACAAAGTGTCTTTTTGTTGACTTTTAAAATGACCTCTAATGTTTTGGCTCATATCTCTCAAATGAAGCAGTTTTTGACCTTGAGCTTAGAGAGACTTAGTTGTAGAGAATTGAATTTTCCTCAAAATGAGCTTGGTTGAAAATTTTATAATGAAGCATGTGAAAGTTATGCTTCGTCAAAGTTCAGTTGATTTCTCCTATAGAAAACTCTAATTTGGTAACTTTTGACTTTTGATGAATCTTGAGGTTTCTTGATGAATCATGATTAACCATTGATCAAATGATGAATGTGACTTCAAAATCTTGATGTTGACCAAAAATCTTGAAGTTTGACTGTAAATTGGTCAAATTTGACTTTTTGTCCAATACAATTAATTTTCAATTATCTGGCTGATTGACTAAGCAAGCTTGTACTGCAAGGCTTGAAATTTGGCACGAGGATACCTTGAACCATGTGAGAAACCATGAAGTACAATTGAGACATTAGAAGTCCAATTTTCCCTGAGAAAATCAAAACCCTAGTTGTAGATTAAAGCTTAGGAGGAGGATTCATCTGATCATTCTTTGAGTAGTCTTGAGTACTTAAGACCCTCAAGAGCTGAGAAGGTATCCTAAATCTATTTGTCTTGAAAAATGGGATGTAAAATTTTTGGTACAACACCATGCATATTTAATTAATTTGATGCACACATTCATGTTCACATTGATGTCTGGAATGATTTTGACGCATCATTTGCAAGCTTTAACGCAGGAATGACAAAATGCCATTGTTAGGGAAGTTTGGAATATTTCCTTCATATCTCGTCTTACAATTGTTTTCAGGCCTAACTAACACCACCACTAGATTTAGGAGGTCTAAATTAGGGGGACACGACCCCTCTTAATCTTTAAATCTCGCTATTTTTGCAGGTTGAAAAATCATCCTACTGGAGCTAGGGCTCCGACACTTCTCTTTTTCATTTGTTTTATTATATATTTATTTGTTTGTATTATATGAACATAAAACATAATGTGGCCCAGTTGGTTGGAGACAGAGGCATGTAACATAAGGGGTGTGGGTTCGATCCCTCCGTTTAGTCAATTTATATTCTTTTTCATGTTTTAACGCACATGCTTATAACATATTGAATGCTTCCCATTCTCAATCACGGACAATTGCATGGCCTAGTGGCAAGCATGCAGTGTTTGAAGCCAGGGGCGTGAGTTCAACACCCACCCCATGCAATTGTTTCTTTTTTCTTTATTTTCCTAACCTAATTTCATTCTTTTTCTTCATTAACTATTTTTTTAATTAATCATTAACTAACCTAATTTTTTTCAAGAAAATATAACAAATTATGGTTAGGTCTTTTTTAATTAGTAATTAAATTTTGACATATTTTTATTTACTAATTAATTAAATTGGTTTTTTTCCTTAATATTAAAATCAATTAGAATTTAGGTTTTAATTACTATTATTAACACTTAAATTATTTTCTACAAAACATATAAAAAACATCAACACTTAGATTTTAGATCTTTAACATTTTTCTAACACTTTTCTCATCTTTTGCTATTTAATTTCATAGAATATTTGTATAGGTCACACTATCAATGTAATAGTGCAGATTTAAATTCCCACATTTTTTCCAATTATGTATCTGCTGCGAGGATGTAATAGTGTAGGTTTACTTACCCGCAAGTTTCTATACTTATCTATCAGCCCCAAAGCCATGTAATAAGTTAGGTCTTTACATTCCGCCCTTTAATTTTTTGTACATATTTAACTGTTAGTAACTAGGGTTTGTATGGCAAGACTAAAAACAAACATAGAAAACCCTAATTTTCAAGATAAGATAACTGAATTAACACACTTCACACACTTTGAACCTCTAGGGTAACCTCTGTTGTTACCTTTTGAATATTAGCCACGTCCTTGGAAAGTGGGGATACTTTAGCAAAAGACCCTCGATGAAACCATCATAGTCCCTTTAGGATAAAGATCATAATCCCTTTATGACCCTTCAAGTTGCCTAAAAAATAACCTAGTCACTAGAGTAAATGATGATAGTCTCTCCGATACAATTGCTAAAGTATCCTTACATGTTGCCTTCGATGACCATACGACGACCCTACGCGTGTCCCTTCACATCCAATAGATGGGGCTGCCTACTAACTAATGGTATGGATAGTATTATCTCTAATGGAGAAGGAAAATAATAAGAAAGACCATACTTAGTGGGTAAGAACTCCTAATCGCTTGCTTACAACCTTTTCAAAACATTTTTCACACATAATTTTCAAACAAATATTTTCAAAAAATACTTTGTATACATTCTTGAGGACAGATACAAGAATTATTATAAAGTTAGCCTCACATTGGCATTTCAAAATATTTTCAAATCACACATACACAAAGCAAGTTTTCAAAGTGAGCTAAGAAATTAAGAGCCCGTAGATAACTACAGATGAAGATGGTGCTAACAGCTTTCTTTTTCATCACTTACCCCCGAACTCAAAATCTATCAAAGTTCTTTTCTGTTCCTTCCACTTTTCCTAAATATTGGATAAAAGAAAAGTAGGCGGCGAATCTTGTTATCTGCACATTTGGATAAAACCAAAAAAGTCCGTTCTCCCACCGTATTACAGGGTGTATGTACAATATTATGTCAAAGCTTTTGGAAAACAGACTGAGGTGTGTCATGGAGAAGATCATTTCAAAAAAATAAACAACATTCATCAAGGATAGTCAAATCCTAGATGAAGTCTTAATAGCCAACGAATTGGTGGAGGAAGCAAAGAGGAAAGGTAGAAAAACTATTTTATTTAAGGTGGACGTCGAGAAGGCATTCGATTCAGTAAGTTGGAACTATCTACAAGAGATTATAGAAAGTATGGGATTTAGCTTACAATGGAGAAAATGGATGGATGAATGTCTTCGATTTGCAACAATTTCGGTGCTCGTTAATGGTAGCCCTACAGGCAAATTTAGGGTTGAGAAGGGGCTTCGACAAGAAGACCCTTTATCTCCTTTCTTGTTTCTTATTGTGGTAGAAGGATTAGGGATGCTGCTAAATAAAGCCTCCGAAATTGGTAGATTTGAAGGGCATTCTTTCGGAAATCAAGCGGGGAGTCTCACTCATCTTCAATTCGCGGATTGCACCCTTATTTTGGGACCAAGAAGTCTTGAGAATGTGGATAGCATGAAGGCTATTCTGCATCTGTTTGAACTAAGCTCTGATAGGAAAGTTAACTTCCATAAAATCCGTTTATTTGGAATTAAAACTTCGGACTCTTGGTTGGAAGAAGCGGCAAAGGCTCTTAATTTCAAAGTGGGTTCAATTCCCTTCATATATTTGGGGTTACCGGTTGGTGCTAATCTAAGGAGCATATTTACTTGGGATCCAGTTATTGACAAGGTGAAAAAAATATTAACTAGATGAAGGAGTCATAATTTATCAATGGGAGGTCGTGTTGTGCTCGTATGCTCTGTTCTGTTCGTGATTCCAGTGTTCTACCTTTCGTTCTTCAAATCTATGATATGTATTATCACCAAATCTGAATATCTTTTTAAGAAATTTCTTTAGGGGCGTCACGAGATTTCTAACCGAGTTAACTGGGTAAAATGGGAACAAGTTTGTTTGGATAAGGAGAGAGGGGGATTATGCATTAAAAATGTGAGAACTTTCAATGTAGAGCTTCTAGGTAAATGGGTGTGGAAAATGCAGACAAAAGAAGAGATCTTATGGTAAGATATTCTTAAGCACAAGTACTGGGAGAAGGACGGGAAAATTAAGTCTAGCGGTAGAATTTAGTCAGGATGGTTGAAGGACCTTAAGGAAGTGGAGAATAGAGGAACAAGTAGTAATCCTAATTCACTTAGCAATAATGTCTCTAAAGTTCTGGGTAGCAGATCTTAAACGAGATTTTAGAGAGACTATTGGTTAGGAGATCCTTTGAAGAATATTTCAGCATTTATTCTCTATATCCCTGCTATAGGATGCCTCAGTTACGGATATGAGAAGAAGATCGGGGGCCAACGAGGAGTGGTATTTTTCATGGATGAGAGATTTGTTAGAGTGGGAGATTGAAATGCTGCATTATTTGATGAGACCAAGAAAGAAGGGACAAAGTTATGGGGCTAGCGAATCCTTCGTATTGCTATACTGTTAAATATGCCTATATAGTTTTATCTGCGTATAGCATCCCGATTCCTCGCCTCTCAATAGTGTGTGGAACAAATATATTACTCTTAAAGTTTCAGTATTTGTGTGGTAAGTATTACAAAACAGAATCCCAACAAAAGACAACCTTCATAAGAGAGGAATCTTAAATGCAAGCTCGGTCAATTGCGTGGAAGGTTGTAATTCAATAGAATCTCCGACACATCTATTCCTTGAGTGTAGTGTGGCTTTTCAGGTCTGGTCTGCAACTTTCAGTTGGCTAGGGATCCTCTTTGTCTCACATCGCAACTTCGCTTTCAATTTTTCCTCGTTTTGTGGTTTATTACAGGTTGAGAAAAAAAAAGAGTTGGAAGCCCAAACTATATGGTTTGCCTCTCTATGGAGCATATGCAGGGCAAAAAATGAGAATATTTTTCAGAGTAAAACAACTCCTGCAGTAGACATCGCGAATAAAATCAAGATTGTCTCGTGACTTTGGCTGAAAATTAAGGATAAGAATTTCAACCAGCCTCTCTGCATTTGGCTAAAATTTCCTTATGATTGCTTGAAAGAGATCAATTGATCCCTTGTGGATTGATTGTTCCGACAGTTTCAGTGGCTCTGTGGATTTCCGTTTGGCTTGGAGTCTGGTTTTTGTTTCAGAAATTAATATGTAATCTTTGTTTTTATTCTGGTTGGGAGTTTGCCTATCCATAACAGTGTTTTTGTTTCAGTTTTTAGGGGGCTTCTCTGTGTTAATTCTGATATCACATGCAACACTTTGTGGATTTTAGCATTGTATTTTTTCTTCATTCTAGCATCTCTTGTGCTTAGAATGTTTTAATATATTCTCCTTTGCTGCTGCAAATAAAAATTAATAATTAATAATATTAAAATAGGACATTTAATTTTAAATGAATAGATTCTTGTAAAAAATAATGGGACATTTAATATTAAAATAAAATCAAATGAAATTTGGGATATTAAGTTATTTCAGACATACATTTCCGAAATAACTCCCTATTGAATGATTTGGTTATTTCATATATGTATATCTGAACGAACCACTAAAAAACTTATATTTGGTGCATTTGGATATGCAAATCTGAATTTTCGGGGTATCTTGGGTTTTTCACCAGAAGCCTGCAAGAAGACTACTAGGTGTACAAAGAAATTCTCTTACTTATTATAGACTAGAACAAGGCCCAATTCATATCAGACTGGGTTGCTCCAATGACAAGATGCTAGACACGCCACTAAATGGACACGTCTTAGAGACATATAGGATTATGGTTGACTGATCCATGTAGAGCGTTATATGAGAAAACCTGATGGATCTCCTGACACTTCACAATTACGTCGAAGTCATTTCACCATGATTGGAAAAGGAATACGATCACGCTTGACCAACTGTGGTGAGATAGGTGTGATTGTAAGTGTGTTGTTTACAACTCCGATCTGTTGTCCATCGTAGTAAACTGGAATGCACACTACCTATAACCACAATTGTATTACTATAGTGAAATATTTATAGATCCTGAGTTTGATATCCAGAAATTCCATTTTTGACGTTTATTATTCTCAATAATGCTCTACCTATAACAATTGTTGTATTAAACAACCACTATGAAATTATTCATCCACTCACTAATGGCTCCCTTTTAAACATGGTTCCCATTTGAACCCCACTCGTTACTAATCTCCCCTTCTGAATCAGTGACTCGTCAATGGGCCAATGTATGTACATCTATCATTGACACACATGATGCATGACATAAAATAATAACATACAAGTGCAATCCTCACAATTTGTCCCTCTTCCAACCCTAACCATCACCCATTAAATGCCACCATTTCAACTTAACAAGTATGATATGCAATTATAACTCACTAATACAAAATCATAGAAGTATTCAACAATATATACTTATACATCCATAAAAATATTCACGCAACTCTTAAAGCGTACCAATTAACTCAACTCAACTCTAAAATACAACAACTCATCAAAAGCATCAAACAACATTAAATGACTCGAGACTTTTTCCTCATTAATACTCTTCCTATACACATCATAGTTAAATCATTATATTCACGACCTCATAAGAATATTTAACTTCTTAGGACATTGCACGGGGTAGTCCTCTGCATTAGCTTTCTAACGCTTCAAACCACGCCTTAATTAGAGTCACGAAACTCAAGTTACGCCATATTCAATTCTGCAATTTCCCACCCATATAGTGGTAACCGGTTACGCTCAGTGTGTAGACAATTACAGGCATGAAAAACAACCCAGAAATCCATTTTTCTCATAGGTAAACGGTTGCCAACTGCTAGTAGCCGATTTCCAGTTCGCCTAGTGTCCAACTTCACCCGTTTTTCACCTATATCTCACTCATAAACCCAATTCCCTTATATATGCATTTGAATATTGAAAAATGTGAATTTAACGAATAACCATATGTATTTTCTTTAACAAAAATTCAATGTTCATGCTCATTATCTCAAAATACTAGAACATGAACAACACAACTTAGAATTTCTCACATCAATTCATTCAAAATTCAACACTTATCACAACATAAAAATGGATTCATAACATCATAATCCAGAGAGGTTTGCACAACCATCTCAAGGATTCAAAACCTCAACAATGGAGGATGGAGGAAAACAACAAAGAGGAGGGTTAGGATCCATATCCATCCTTCGTACAATTTACACCCATAGATGAGTAATTTCCCCCTCCCCCCTTACCTCAATTTTCATCAACAAGATTCAATTTTCAATAATGGTAGTTCTCCCCTCCAAGTTATTCTCTTGCCTTTATAACTCCTCTATTTCTCAAGTTTCACGTACCGCATAAAACATATTTCCCCCATATGCAAAATGTCTTCAGTACCTGTGAATTAGACTTCTGATGTAATGTCTTCAGTACCTGTGAATTAGACTTCTATATATGCAAAATATTCATCTTGCTTTGACTTTTGAGAGCCAAGCTTATCATCAAATGTAACACTGATTGACTCTTCTACAATCTGTGTTTATGTGTTGTATACTTTATAACCTCTTGAGGGTTCAGAGTATCCTAACATAATACACTTTTATGCTTTAGATTCAAACTTGTTCAGATATTCTTTAGTGTTAAGAATAAAATAAATACATCCAAATGGATGGAAATACGAGATGTTGGGCTTTCTATTCTTCCACGGTTCATATGGAGTCTTCTCCAGAATAGGTCTTATGTAGATTCTATTATGAATGTAACACGCTGTGTTAATTGCTTCTGCCCCGAAGTTCTTAGCAATGTTATTTTCTTTGATCATGGTTCTGGCCATTTCTTGTAATGTTCTGTTCTTTCGTTCTACAACTCTATTTTGTTAGGGAGTTCTAGGACAAGAGAAATCATGAGAGATGCCATTCTCATTAAAAAAATATATCAAATTTTTTGTTTTCAAATTCTCCACCATGATCACTTCCGACTCTAACAATTCTAAGATCTTTTTCGTTTTGGACTTGGTTACAGAAGGCAAAGAACACAGTGTGACCCGTCCTTGTGTCTTAAGAACTTTACCCATGTCCATCTGCTATAGTCATCTACGATCACTAATCCATACTTCTTGCCACCAATGGATGCAGTTTTCACTAGTCCAAATAGATCTATATGCAGAAGTTCTAATGGTCTAGAGGTAGAAATAACATTTTTTGCTTTAAAAGATGGTTTTGCAAACTTGCCTTTCTGACATACTTCACACAGAGCATCTGAGCTGAACTTCTGGTTAGGAAGTCCCATGACCAGATTATGTTTATTAATCTGAGATATTCTTCTCATAATAACATGCCCCAATCTTCTGTGCCAGACCCATTGCTCATCGTTAACAGACAGTAGGAATTTTACATTCTGACTTTTCAGTTCAGAAAGTTTTATTTTGTAAATGTTGTTCTTTCTCTTTCCATTAAAGAGGATAGATTCATCTTTCTAACTAACTGCTTTACATGACTTTTGAATAAAGATTATATCATAACCATTATCACTTAATTGACTTAAGGATAACAAGTTATGCATTAATCCATCAACTAACAGAACATTAGTAATAGAGGGAAGATTACTGTTACCAATTATTCTAGAGCCAATGATCTTCCCCTTCTGATTGCCTCTGAAACCTATGTAACCTCCAGATTTAAGCTCCAGGCTTTGGAACATATTCTTTCTTCCCGTCATGTGTCGAGAGAATCCAGAGTCCAGGTACCAGGATTGGTGTTTTAGTCTTGCTTTCAAAGAT